AAATATTTTTGCAAATCTTTCTCTTCTCAGAAATCTGTTTCATTGTACATCTATGGACTTTAGCTAATGGTGTTACCTTTGTTGACTGGTGAGGAGTCCTTGCTTCCCCAATGTTGAAGAATAACACCAGAGAGGAAGCCGAGGCAAGGTCAGAGTAGAAATTAGAAGTTTATTAAAGGACAGTAGAAAAGACTTCTCCAGAGGAAGAAGGGGACCCAAGAGGTGGAATCCGTGGAAGTGCGGTTGTCTCCCCTTTTTATAGTTTTGGTGATGGAATGTGAGGGGGAAGGGTTGGGACACAGGTGGGCCAAACAAGTAATCTGGGCCCCAAGGACTTCATTATCATTTCTTTGAGATGGGCTATCTCCAAATCTGTTGGGGGCTGTTTCCTGGGTTCCATTAACATTTCTTTGGGGTGGACTTTGGCCTAGGGCCTTTCCGGGACTTCATTAACATTCCATGAGTTGTCCTGCCTTTCCCCAGAATCATTATCAGCATGGCCTCCATTTTAGATTTCACTCGATATGATATTAGACCCGATTTACCTAACTACACTGACCACCTAATTTTAAATCTGGCTTCAATGGGAGTGGCTGGAAAAACAGCCATCCTGATATGATGGTGGAAAATAGGAAGCAGGAGCAAAACTAGAAATCTGTTTCTAACTTGGCCATGAATATTGTGACCTTGTTCACAACCCTGTGTCTGAGCCTCAGTTTCCTTTTCCATAAAATAAGTGATGGGTAAGATGATAATCATGTTTCATTCTTGGAGATACAGCTGTATTTATACTTTTAGCATTCTCTTTAACAGACACCATAGTATCTCCTCATTTTGATCCTCACAATAAATCTACAAGGTAGTAGATCTGGCAGACATTCTTATTAGGCTTATTAGACAGATGATGTGTTGAGGCTGAGGAAAGGAAGGTGTTTGCTCAAGATTTCATTAAAAATGAAACTCTTCCTCCTGATCCACAATAATCTTAGCAGGAGGCTCAAGCTTGTGGATGGATATATAAGATATGTAAAGGGTATAATTGTTAGATGGACTTATGATTTCTCTAGGTTTACATTGCTGGTCTATCCTTTGATGTGACTGCTTTTACCTGTCGGGTGTTCTGTAATGGTATAATTTACACTAAATGTATTAAATAGGCAACCTTAATTATTACCTGGGTGGAGGGAGGAGATGGGCAAGGAGAGATGGACAAGGAAAGGGCAAAGAATTAAAAGTGGAACAGCCAGACACTAGTGTAAGTACCCCACCAGTATTACTTAATTCTCATGTTAATCCTAGGAGGAAGGTTTCTCACTATGCACATTTAACAAATACTGAAACCAAGATCTAGAGAAGTTAAATAACTTGTCCGAACTAAAAAGTGTTGGAGCCAGGATGTGGATGCAGGCAATCTGATTTCAGAGTTTGTATTCTAACTATTCTTCTATTAAGGTCATGAGGCTTTGTGAGCTGCTCTAACAAAAAGTCAAAATAAAATAAAATAAAATAAAGAATGTCCTCCCAAAGCTAGCAAGATTTCAGAGGAATAAAGGAACTGACATACCATTGACAATGACTTTCATCTTTTTAAAAAGTAATATGTGGGTCTGGGCTTTTGGTGCATGTCTGCAATCCCAGTGGCTAAGGAGGCTGAGGCAGGAGGATCACAAGGTCAAAGCCTTAGCGAGATCCTAAGCAACTCAGTGAGACCTTTTCTCTAAATAAAATACCAAAACAGGTCTGGGGACGTGGCTCAGGGGTTAAGCACCTCTGGGTTCAATTCTCAGTAGAGGGGGAGATAAATAGCAATATGTGGCAAGAGATATAATGCTTTCTAAATTAATTTAGGAATGCTGATCCTAGAAGTGTATTCTATAGCTCTGTTGGTAGAGTGCTTGCCTTGCATGATAAGGCCCTTGGTTCAATCCCCAGCACTACACACAAAAAAGAAATATTCTAAGTTTATAGTTCCAAAAAAGCAAGAAGCCATATTCATGAAGAAGTTTACTGTAATAGTGGAAAACAGGGAACAAATTAAGTGTCCTAGAATAAGGTATGATCAAGTAATTTCACAATACATTCACTTGTTGGGGTATTATGCAAACATTTAAAATGACAATTACAAAGATTTGTAGAAGGGCAAGAAAATGTCCCCTATTTAATATTTTAAAAACAGAAATTCTGATATGTGTATGTATATTAACAAAGCTTGAAATAGAATAGGAAAAAATTCTAGTAGTTAGATGTTAAAGTCATTCCATTTTTTTTTCACATTTGTATTAGTGGTGACATTGTGTCTACTTAACAGACAATGAAAAGAAGAAAAAGCTGGTGGCAGTCATGGGTAGAAATGATTGTCTCAAGTGACCGTTGGGTGGATTCCCTTTGGCTCCATCCTTGAGTTCTGGAGGCAGCCAGAGGGGTTCAGGATGGGGCTGGGGGTGAAAAACCAGCCTCTATCTCAGAGTAAAGCCTGTCCTAGGAAGGGACATGGCCTTTGTCCTTGGAAAAACCTAGGCACATTCCCACCCTGCTAAGTTGTTTATCTACAAATAACAGGAGAGATCTGCTGCGCCAGGTGTCCCTGACTCAGTCAGGCTAGGTGGGGATCCATAGCAGCTCCCTAGCAGCCACCAATTAGCATGAGACAGGGAAATACCTGGGATGCCAGATGACCCTCCCAGTAGTTTATGGTGGTTGATAACAAGTTGGGAAACCATGTAGTTCAGCAGGTACACTCCTCTTGGCTTAATCCAATCAGTTCAAATGAATACCCCTTTTGTACTGACCAATCACCCCTACCCAACTTGTTCCCGCCAGTGAATGTGCTAATCATGTTTTAGAGTTGTTATTTGATTTTTCCGAGGTGTGTGATGATTTGCTAAAAGAGGCTATGATGTATGTGAAGTCCCCGCCCTCTCCAAAGAATGTATAAAACTGCTGCAAACACTGGGTTCGAGGCCTCTCAGCGTCACCAGTTGCTGTGTGTGTGCTCGGAGGACCGAGCTAGCTTGCAATAAACACCTCTTTGCTGCTTACATCGATCTTGGGTCTCTGGTGGTCTTTGGGGGTCCCGAATTCGAGCATAACAGGGGCTGGGGCTTGGTGGATCCCTGACCTTGTGTAGGAGAGAAATGATTCTGCCCTGCCACTGCCTCTGTAACTACGGAAACAGTCTAGTCCAAACTTGTCTTCCCTTTGCTTCACCACACATCTCTGATTCTTCATTCAAGTCTCAGAAGTCTTACAAGAGGTTTTCTTGGAGTCAACTCCAACTGCTCCCCCAACTCCCACACACTGGCAGCCTTCCCCATGCCCTGTTTCTGTGGCCCACCTCAGCACACAGCAGGCTGTGGTGACTGCCTGATGACATTATTGAAGGCTCCCTCTCAGCTACCAGGATTGGGATCCCAAGCTGATCTGGATCTCCTCCCTGTACCCTGACTCATGCTCACCATGGACTGCAGGAATGGCCCTTTCTCCTTGTCTCTAAGAGTGGGCAGGCTGGGTGGGGTTAGATTCTTTCCAGCTTCACATACTATGTATATCATCTGTTTTTAGCAAACTCTTTAAATAAAGGAATCATTGGGTTTTGAAGAGAAGCCCCAGAATAGGAAATGTCTGTGGATGGGCCTCCAAGTATTCCCTGGCTTTGGTGTGGACATTAAGTCTGGTCTATGGTTGAGTTGGGGGTTTTCATGGCAGGTTGACTAAGTGTGCATGAATATGCCCTTAACAGTCCACTTGAGAAGAGAGCTTCAGGATGAGGGGTCTTCATTTGTTTTGTGAGTACCCAGATGGCCAGCCACAGTCACAAGTGACATGCTAGCTGTGCTACCACAAGTGAATCTGCAGGAGCCCCGATTCACATATCTGCCTGCAGACTGTGGAAGTGGGTGTGTCTGTGCATATGGTTGGATATGCCTGTGTCAGAGTCTGCGCTGGGTAGCCCTGAGTTGTGGACAGTGTGTCAGTGTATGGACTGTGAGCACACATCTCTGTGAATGTGTAGTTTTCAATTCAGCAAATTATTGGGAGCTTTCTGTTCTGCAAGAGCAAGATTGTGGTGTGTCAGCCTGAGTGTACAGTCTTACCTGTGTCTGCATTGTGTGTCCCCTCTGTGTCTTTGGGAATGCGTTCTTGGCACGTGTCCTGCCTTAACAAGGCGTTTTCTCGCTGTGTGTCTGTGCGGCAGTGCCTGAGTCCTGTTTGCAGCTGCCTGCTTGCTTTCCAGCTTCACTTGTGCCCGCAGTCAGGCACTGCACGTGCGCCAGCCTCCATGCGCACGTCCCTGAGTGACCTGTGCGCGATGTGCAGGGACCTCTGGGTCGTGTGCACTTTGTACGCTCGTGTCTGACTCTCTGCACTAACGAACGCACCTCCACATGTCTGAGAGCACGTCCTTTTCCATATGTGCACGTTCCGTGTGCACGCCGCCCGTGTGTATATGCGTGTATAGGGCGCTGCGCGCGCGCTCGGACCCGCTGGCGTCCAGGGACCCGCACAGGGCTCCACGCGTCCCGTGAGGGTGACCCCTCCCCCGTGCGCCCCGCAGC